AACATGCTAGTGCAACCTTTGTTTCTAATGTGGATTTATAAGTACAATCTGTAAATAGTAGGAAACTAAAACCTTGTGGGCAATAAATGTGGTTCACTGACTGTGTATGCTGCAAGTCAATGATTCCTCTCCAATCTGCATATTTTCTTTTATTTGTTACTGCGATGTGGGCAGTGCTAACCCATCCCTAATTGCCCTTCAGAAGATGGTGGTGATCTATTGTCTTGAATTGCTGTAGTCCATGTGGTGTAGGTAAGCCCACAATGCTGTTGAGCGGAAAGCTTTTTTTGCCGAGCAACTGTTGTGAGTGAGATCTACACCCTTATGAGTGAACAGCAACAGGCTTTATTTAATGTAAAAACCAAAAGAACTGCGGATGCTGTAAATCTGGAACAAAAACAAAGTTGCTGGAAAAGCTCAGCAGGTCTGGCAGCATCTGTGAAGGAGAAAACAGAGTTAACGTTTCGGGTCCGGTGACCCTTCCTCAGAACAGAGGAACAAGGGTTCTGAGGAAGGGTCACTGGACTGGAAACGTTAACTCTGTTTTCTCCTTCACAGATGCTGCCAGACCTGCTGAGCTTTTCCAGCAACTTCGTTGTCGTTGTCGTTGTCATTGTCGTTGTTGTTGTTTATTTAATATAATTCCGTGCAGAGAATGGTAGAAAGGACAACCTGTGTGGAACGGTTCCATATGATCTAATGTCTCTATGACAGAGTCCTTTTCCCACATGAACTATAGGTAGAGTAAAGGCATAATTCCCTTCACAGTGACAGTGAAGTAATGGTGAGGTAGTCCCAAGTTAGGATAGTGTATGAATTGGAGGGAAGCTTGCAGGTGATGGTAGTGTTCCCATGCTCTCCTTTGCCTTTCTAGAGGTCTCAAGTTTGGAAATTGCTGTTGAAGGAACCTTGTTGCAACAGCAACTTTTGTAGATGGTCTACACTGCTAACACAGTACACTATTGGTGGAGGAAATGGTCCATTTGGAATGACAAGGGCAGCAGACATAATGGGTACACCACCACCTCAAAGTTCCCCTCCAAGGCACTCACCATCCTGACTTGGAAATATATCGCCGTCCCTTCATTGTCACTGGGTCAAAATCCTGGAATTCCCTCCCTAATGGCATTGTGGGTCAACCTACAGCAGGTGGACTGCAGCGGTTCAAAAAGACAGCTCACCCCCACCTTCTCAAGGGCAACTAGGGATTGGCAGGAAATGCTGGCCAGCCAGCAACGCCCACATCCCACAAAATGAATAGAAAGAAAATGTTGAAGATGGCAAATGGGTTATCAAGCTTTTTTACTCTGGAGGATGTTGAGTTTCTTTACTGTTGGAGTTTTGCTCATTCAGACGAGTGGAGTGTATTATTTTGTTCTCTTGACTGGTGCCTTTTAGATGCTGGACTGGTGTGGGGAGTTGGGAGCTGGCTTGCATGCTGCAGTATTCCCAGTTTTTTGGCCTGCTTTTGTAACCATTGGAATCGGCATTTCCACAAGCCTGGAGCTCCAGCATCTGATCAGATCTGGATCTTGAATAGGAATGCAGGCCAGGAGAATGAAGCAGCAGAAAGAGTAAGATTTAGTGACATGGTCAGAAAGGAAGAAAAGCTGCAGGTTAGAGGGCTTGGCACAAAGAGGCAGTGTAAGTCTGGAGGTCAGAAAGCAGAGTAGGCAACACCAAAACAGGACAGAATGACCTGATTAGCACTCTGCCAGGAAACGGTCTTAAATAATCCCGTGGCGCTTTGGGGACCTATAATCTTATTGTTTAAAAGTAAAGTCCCAGTTTGACAATCTTGCTGTCATCTGTCTGACCTCCAATCCATCCAGCCTACAACAGTCTCCTATAACCTGTTCTCCTGTGTTGCCCACCTGACTGAACATCTCAACTTAACTTGCAACCGGTCAGCTCTCTATTGGCTCTTCTGAACATTGAATCATTGTTATTCCTGCTTGCAAGTTGGGGAAATTGAACATTTTGGAGTTTGGCATTGTGCAGTTAGAACAAGGGAATCGCAACAGCTTGTAAAACATTCTGAGATAGCAGGAACAGCCGATGCTGGAGTCAGAGACAACACAGTGTGGAACTGGAGGAGCACAGCAGGCCAGGCAGCATCAGGGGAGTAGGAAAGTTGACATTTCGGGTCAGGACCCTTCTTCAGAAATGGGGAGGGGAATGGGAGCTGGGAGATAAATAGAGAGGGTTGGGGCGAGGGAAGGTAGGTGGGATGGTGACTGGTGAATGCAGGTAGAGAGGGGTGGGGATTAGTCAGTGGGATTGGTGGGGTGGATAGGTGGGAGAGAAGATGGAGAGGGTTGTGTCTGGTCAAGGAGGCAGGAGGGAGAATGGAGGGCCTGGCCGAGCTATACGTGCCTCTTCATAGGATACTTGAAACAGTCCCTTTTCCACTGTTATACCGGCACTATCCCCCACCTCTACCTCTACTACATTGATGACTGTATCGGCGCCGCCTTGTGCTCCCACGAGGAGCTTGAACACTTCATCAACTTTACTAACATCTTTCACCCCAACCTCAAGTTCACCTGGACTATCTCTGATACCTCCCTCTCCTTCCTGAACCTCTCCATCTCCATCTCTGGTGACCACCTCGAAACTGACATCTATTTCAAGCCCATCGACTCCCACAGCTACCTGGACTACACCTCCTCTCACCCACCTTCCTGCCTGATTTGGGTCCCCTACTCCTAATTCCTCTGCCTCCGCCATATCTGCTCCCAAGATGGAGCGTCCCGCTCCCGCTCATTCCAATATCCTCCTATTTCAAGGACTGCAATTTTCTCCCTCCATTGATCAAAAATACCCTCAACCACATCTCTTGCATTTCCCGCACTTATGCACCCTCAAACCTCCTTCTGCCAACAAAAGCAAAGACAAAGTCCCCCTGGTCCTTACATACTACCCACCAACTTCCACATCCAGCGTATCATTCTTCGCCACTTCCGCCACCTACAATCTGACCCCATGACCAAAGAGATATTTCCCTCCCCACCCCTATCTACCTTTCATAAGGACCGCTCACTCTGTGACTCCCTCATCTACTCCACACTCCTCACTAACCCCACCACACCCGGCACCTTTCCCTACAACCACAGGAAGTGCTACACCTGCCCCTACACTTTCCCCCTCACTCCATTCAAGGCAAAAAACAAACCTTTCATATCACACAGGGGTTCACCTGCACATCTGTCACCTTGGTCTACTGTATCCGCACGCTCCCAATGTAGCCTCCTGTACATCGGTGAGACCAAGCGCAGACTCAGGGACCGTTTTGTGAAGCATCTATTCTCTGTATGCGACAAATGAGAACACCTTCCCGTCGCCAACCATTTTAACTCCCCCTCCCACTCCCTGGGCGACATGTTCATCTTGGGCCTCCTCCAGTGTCACAATGACGCCACCCACAAACTCAAGGAGCAACACGTCATATTCTGCCCTGGGAGCCTACAGCCCATGGCCCAAACATGGACTTCACCAGTTTTAAAATGTCCCTACCCCTGGCCTCATCCCATGAGCAACCCTCCCTCTCATCCCCGCCTCCTTGACCTGACACAACCTGTCCATCTTCTTTCCCACCTATTCGCCCCACCCATTCTACTGACCAATCCCCACCAATCCCGACATGCATCCAAGCTATCACCACCCCACCTATCTTCCCCAACCCCACCCCTCCTCTCTCTATTTATTTCCCAGCTCCCTTCCCCCTCCTCCATTTCTAAAGAAGGGTCCTGACCCGAAACATCAATTTTCTTGCTCCTCTGATGCTGCCTGGCCTGCTGTGTTCCTCCAGCTCCTCACTGGCTTGTAAAACATGTTCATTCAAGTCTCAGAAGTGCTGTGGAGGCGATCTGGTTGCATGTGGAACAAGCATGTGAACTGCTCCCAGATTCCTTGTGTGACAAAAAATTTCTATAGAGTGAATCCTCTTGACTATTCGATAATTTGGCAGATTTTTGAACTGAACATCTTCCTTATTTTTGTTTTAAAGACTGACACTTATCCAAAAGGACTGGAAAGGTTTGGACTAGGGAAGAGAATAATAGACGTTCTCTGAAAATTTGCATGTGAAAACTTGTCATCTGAAATCTGAAGACAATTTAACATTCTTAACAAATGCAGTAGGGTGGCGGTACTGAGAAACCTGAAATTCTAAACCACAAGCTGAACAGATTGCAGTGCACAATTCATTATAGTCAAAGGCATACAAATCTCCAATGGAATCCTGGCCTTGCTGAAATGTTGGAATGACCCTTCAGTTCAGTGTGTATTTTATCTTGTTTATTTTGTGAATTCTTTCTTGAAGACCTAAGGTTACCATCTGTGTGATAGAATCAATACTGAGCCCTCCACTCCTTTGCGTTCCATTAACTATCAAAATTAACATCCAGAATTAATATTGAATTCGTACCCATTGAGTTCTGAGGAAGGGTCACCGGACCCGAAACGTTAACTCTGTTTTCTCCTTCACAGATGCTGCTAGACCTGCTGAGCTTTTCCAACAACTTTGTTTTTGTTCTTGAATTCATACCCGTTCCATTAACACCCAAACTCCTGCTGCCTACATCCTATTGAGTTGCAGGTTGCCCTCGCCCAATACCCTTTCTCTTCCTGGTGTTCTCATGCTTCAGATTTAACATTGGCATCCTCCAGCTTCTCTCCCACCCCTTCTTCCCCCATATACACACCCCTCCAACTCACTGTGGTTGGCCAAGTTTCCATTCTACACCCTCACTGAAACTGAATTCTTATAACCTGTCTGCTGCATCTTCTTGAAAACTGTCCTTAAAATGAGTCTTTTTTTGGCTTGGTGTCCAGTGTAGCCTAATTTTGCTACTGCACAGGGCCTGATAAACATGTTCTTAAGAGGTGCTGGATTAGGGCAAGATGTTTTCCTGTTTTTTGTTTTAAAGTCAGAACAGTTTCTTCATGGAAGATTTAAATCTGCTGAATTCAGTACGATTTTCCTTTTTCTGTTGCAGAGAGGTTACCAAAAAGACGCTTTTGTGTTCAACTAAGGTCAAGTCTGCTACCGAATGCCTCAATCAAAGCTACAGACAAGTGGATACTACTGAAGACTCCTCCCCAAGAAGGATAACTTCACTGTTATCTGTTCCATTTTTCTTTTGTATTTGTTGCAAACTGCTCTCGGGTTAATGGAAACCAGCCCTCCCTGGGTCTGAATCAACTAAAACGTTGGGACTGAACATCACCTCAAGGAACACAGATGTTCAATGACTCTGTGAAATTTGTATATTCAAACTTTTGATAAGTACAAAAGAGAAGTTTTTTCTGTCTACACTGTCCTTCAAAATGTAGCAGTGATCCAGACTTTAACTTTTTTGTTCATTTTCAAAGTAATATCATTCTAAATAATATTTTAGTACTTCAATTGTAATCTCAAGTTCCTGGTTCAACTCCTAGCAGTCTATACCGCGACAAGCTGCTTGACTTAATAGAATCTACACCCTTTTAACTGATGGGTCAAGTTGTTTAGCAACCTAATTGAAACAAGTATACCTGAAATGTATAAAATCTTGTAACTTCCAAGGTGTCCAAACAGTGTATATTACACTTCATTCTACAATTGTGCACTCAGCTAGTTTTCAGACAACAAATTTATTTGCTGTGTTCTCTTCCTCCCACCTATTCAATAAAAAAATAGATTTATGATCGATTTGAGAAATTAGGTAGCATGGAATGGGCCCTAATGGAATCAGCAAACTATGATTAATGAGAAGAGGCAGTGTTAAAATGCCTAAAAGACCAATGTTAACAAGATTCATGTGCTAACATAATAAAGAGTAGTGATAAATTCTTGGAGCAATCCATATTAATTAATTTACAATTAATTGATTCAGATAAAATGGGTAATAAATCCTGGTCCTGCCAGTCAATGCCCACATCCTGTGCGTAAATTTAAAAGAAGGCAGGATTTCAATTACATCAATTCCAACACTGATTTCAACGAGGAAGTTACCAGAGTGCATCGGAACACTTTCCAAATCTTATGAACTGAAAGTATTCACGCTACAGTTGCTGAACGAAAAATCTTTGGGTCAACCACATGTAGGAACAGAGAAACAAAGAAATAAATTTGGGATGTTGTCAGAGTTTTGGTGGTGGTTGTCCAATCAGAATGTGTAGATAATGGATATTCTGGGGCATGGGATTTTAAACATAATAGCTTATTATCCTTTTGATAAATAACAAACAATTAAGAACAAGCTTTAAAGAGTGTTTGTTTATTTTAGGAGGAACAATTTGTACATAAAATGTATATCTGCATAATAATGTCTCCCTCCCACTGCCTTCCAGCAAGTTGATGGAAAACTTGCTAGGTTCTTTGTATTGTAAGAACTGTAGCAGGAACTTAAAATACATAATCCCATAGCAACTTGCAACCTTTCATACAGGCCAACTGGCTGGAGCAGAGGGGGTCCTTGGCTTGTAGGAGAACCCAAGTCTGCTTCACCAGTGGCAGATGTTCCACATCTTCTGTCAGGGACAGCAGGACTTAACATTGAGGCTGGGAAATGAGAAGGCAGCTATTGAACACAAAGTAGCTAAAGTGGTTCAGGGCCTGCTAGAACCGAAGCCATATCTGGAGCATGAGTAGCGACTGATGTAGACTGCAGAGCTAGAGAATGAAGACCGGAACAGTCTGCAGGAGTGTTTACAGTCAGACTGGGGAATGGAAAAACGGTTATCTGATTCCTATAGACTAAGCAAATTACTAGAAGAAAGATTTATCAATTGTGGATATCTTCCAGATGGTTGGAAAGTGACTGTCTGAATTAGAAAAGGTGATAAGACAAGAGTTGGACAATTGTAACACCGTAGATAATTGGGTGAATAATTTTATTCTCTGTAAATGTCTGTATTTTTTTATAAAGAAGCTGTGGTTGTCCTGATTTTATCTGTTAAGCACCACTTTCTTTGCTTTTATAAAATTGTACGGATGCTTTGCTTTATCAGCTCAAGAAAAAAAAAATAAAGTTTTTTTTATTTAATTGAAAGTTCCACTTTTTATTCATTCATGGGAAGTGGGTGCCACGGACTAGGCCCATCCTTGTTGCCCTCGAGGAATTAGTAAAAGCCACTTTCTTGAGCCATTGTAGTCCATGCGCAGGTACATCCAAAGAGCTGTTAGGAAGGTTAAACTCGGCTTTTGACACAGTTACAGTGAAGGAAGTGATATGGTCCCGAGACAGAATGGTGTGTGGTTGAAAGGTGAACTCTCAGGTGGTGCTGTTCAGGTAGTAGAGATCACAAGCATTGTTGAAGGAGCCTTGGTGAGTCATTACAGTACATCTTGCAGAGCATGTACAATGCTGCCCCTGTTCCCTCACGGTAAGAATAAATGTTTAAGGGGCATGAGGTGCCAATCAAGCAGGCTGCTCTGCCATGGGTGGTGTAGATTTCAAACTGCACTTGTCCAGGGCAGTGGCCAGTATTGTATCACACTCCTGACTTGTGCGTTTGTAAACAGTGGACAGATTTTCAGGAATGAGATGATGAGCTACCTGGTGCAAAATTCCAAGCTTGTGATCTTTTATTGCAGAGTCAATGGTGATCTCCAGGATGTTGATTGAGGGGAATTAGCAGTGGTTATCATGTTGAATGACAAAGGGAGATAATTAGATTTTCTCTGGTTGGAGATGGTTAATGATTGGCACTTGAGGTGGATGTAACTTGCTGTTGATCAGTCCGACCCTGAATGTTGTCCAGGTCTTGCTGCGTGGGGGCACAGTCTGCTTCATTATTTGAGAAAATGTGAATGGCTCAGTGGTTAGCAATCGTGTCTCACAGTGCCAGAGGTCTAGGTTCAATTCCACCCATCCACATTCTTCTTGTGTCTGCATGGGTTTCCTCTGGGTGCTCTGGTTTCCTCCCACAGTCCAAAGATGTGCAGGTTAGGTGGATTGGCCATGCTAAATTGCCCATAGTGTTCAGGGATATGTAGGCTAGGTGGATTAGCACTAGGAAATGCAGGGTTACAGGGATGGGGTGGGTCTGGGTGGGATGCTCTTTGGCGGGTTGGTATGGACCCGATGGGCTGAATGGCTTGCTTCCACACTGAAGGGATTCTATGATTCTACTCCTTGATTTGTTGGTAAATTTGATCACCACTATTCATAACTGGATATATCAGCATGGCAAAGCTTTGATCTGATTCATTGTTTGCCGGATTGCATTATTCTGACTTCAGCATGCTGTTTCTGCTGTTTTGTATGCTTGCAATTCCATGTTGAAACTTCAATAGATCTGCACTATATTTTTAGGCATGCTTTGTGCTTCTCTTGCTATCATCTCCAACAGACTTCACTGAGCAAGGGTTGGTCCTTTAGCTGAATGGTATTATTAATGCGAGACATGTTAGTTTGTAAAGTTACAGGCTGTGATCAAACACAAGTCTGCCGCTGATGATGGTCCATTGCTCATCAAGAGTGCTTAGTTTTGAGCTGCAAAATCAATTCTGAATCTAGCCCATTTTGCACAATGACAGTGCCACACAATTTGATGGTTGGTATCCTCAGTACAAAGATGAGGTTTCATCAACATCATGGTAGTGTGAGACTTGGAGGCAATGTTTCTGCTGTAGAGATTGTGGGTTTGGATGGCAGTGTAAAATGTTTACAATGATTGCACTGAGTAATGACTTCTGCTTTGTCCTTTGGAAATTCCAGAATTTATCCTATATTTACGTGACAAGTCATTTGGAACTTTATAGTCTGCCAAATATTACATATACATATAGATTTCAATTGTGCTACAATAACACTTCATCTACTTGGACTGGATACAATGATGTTCTGACTAAATGAACATTATACATGTGCTCCTATCTTTTAGGTCAAGCATCTTAAATAAGCTAAATCTACCATCATGACCTGCACCAAATTTTGTTCATTCTTCACCCCTTTATTGACCTACAAGGGTTCCCAACCCATTAATGCATAAAATTTCATATTTTCAACCTAATTCTCAAACCTCTCTGTTCAGCTCCTCAGTCCCCGAAATCTCTGATCCTCCAATTCTAGCCTCATTCGAATCTTCAATTTTTAATCCCATTATTGGAGCTTGAGCTGTAGCTACACTCATTCTCTCTAAACCCCTGTCTCTCACTCTATCAGACCACATGGAACAGGAATGGGTCATTTGGGCCCTCAAGCCTGCTCTGCCACTCAATAGCATCATGGCTGATTTGATATTCCTCATATCTACTTTCCTGCATTTTCCCCATAACCCTTGATTCTATGACTGATCATGAAATTATCTACCTCAGCCTTAAATATACACAAGGACTCTGCCCCCAAAGCTTGCTGGGACAAGGAGTTCCAAAGACACTTGATCTTCAGAGAGAAGAAATTCCTCCTCATCGCGGTTTTAAATTGAAGCCCAATATTCTGAGACTATGCCGTCTGGTTCTAGACTCTCCCATGAGGGGAAACATGCTCTCAGTATTTACCTTGTCAAGCCCCTTAAGAATTTTATAGGTTTCAATGTGATCATCTCACATTCTTCTAAACTCCATTGAGTAGAGTCCCAACCTCTTCAGCCTTTGCTCACAAGACAATCCATTCAAACCAAGGAACATTCTAGTGAAGCTTCTCCGAACTGCTTCTGGTGAAATGATGGATAATTTCCTAAATAAAGGGACCAAAACTGCCCTCAGTGCTCCAGATGTGGTCTCACCAGCACTTTGTACAGTGGTAGTAAGACTTCCCTATTCATATTCCAACCCCCTTGAAATAGGGGTCAACATTCCATTAGCCTTCGTGATTACCTATTGCACCTGTTTGCTAGCTGTCTGTGTTTTGTGCACGAGTCCTTTTGTGTTGCAGCTTTCTGCAGCATTTGTTCATTTAAACGATGTTCTGTTCTCCCTTCCAAAATGAACATCTTTGCATTTTTCCACGTTATATTGCATTTGCCAACTTTGTGCCCACTTACTTAACCTATCAATGCCTCTGGAAATTGTTCGCATCCCTCTTGCAACTTGCCTTTCCACCTATTTTTGTGTCATCTGCAAATTTGGCTATAGTACATTCACTTCCTTCCTCCAAGCCCTGATCCTTATGGAACCCCAGTGGTGACAGGCTGCCAACCTGAAAAAGAACCTCTTATCCCACTTGGTGCTTCCTCCCCATTAACCAATTTTCTATCCACATCGATATACTACCTCCAACACCATGAGCTCTTATGACTTGATCTTTTGTGAGGAACCTTGTTACAAGCCTTCTGGAAGTCCAAATACAACACATCTACCAAATCCCCTCTATCTGCTCTGGTTGAGACTTCCTTGAAAAACTCTAATAAATTAGTCAGATACAAATTCCCTTTCATGAAGCTATACTGGCTCTGCTTAATTAGTTTATAATTTCCCAAATATGCTTCTTTAATAATTGATTCGAACATTTTTCCAACAACAGACACTAGGCTAATTGGCCCATAGTTATCTGCTTTCAGCCGTCTTCCTTTTTTGAATAGCAGTATCACATTGGCAGTTTTCCAATTCTCTGGTACTTTTCCAGAATCCAAGGATTTTTGGAACATTGCAATCAGCGCATCCACTATCTCTGTAGCTACTTATTTTAGGATCCCAGGGTGCAAGCCATCAGGGCCAGGGGGCATATCTGCCTTTAGCCCCATTAGTTTGTCTAATACTACTTCTCCAGTGATGGCAATGGTATTTAATTCCTCCCCCATATTCTTTATACAATGTTTGAAGTTTCTTCTATGTAAAAACTGATGGAAAACATCTGTTTAACTCTTCAGCTATTTCCTTGTCCCCCATAACTATCTCCCCAGATTAATTTTCTAAGGGTCCTATATTCACTTTGATCTCTCTCTTCCTTTTTATATATTTGAAGAAGACCTTATTGTCAGTTTGTATCTTCCTCACTTGTTTGCCCTCACAGTTATTTCTTTCTCTTTATTATCTTTTTAATCCTCCCTTGCTGGATTCTGAATTTATCCCAGTCTTTGAGGCTATCACTGACTTTTTTTTACACTCCTTATGTGCTTTTTCTTTCAACTTGATACTGCCCTTAACCTTCTTGGTTAGCCATGGTTGGTTTATCCCTCTTTTAGAATCCTTGCTTCTTACTGGGATATACTTTTGCTGAGAGTCATGAATTACCTCCTGAAATGTCTGCCAATACTTGGTAACCATCATTCCTGGTAAGCTATCACTTCAGCCAAACCTATCCTCATTGCTTTGTAATTTTTTCATACAATTGTAGGATGTAGGTGACCACTGACTGGGCCTGCATTTATAGCTCATCCCTAGTTACCCTTGAGAAGGTGATGGTGAGCTGCAATCCATCCACTGTGGGTTGACCCACAATGCCATTAGGGAGGGAATTCCAGGATTTTGACCCAGTGACAGTGAAGGAATGGCAATATGTTTCCACATCAGGATGGAAAGTGGCTTGGAGGGGAACTTGGAGGTGGTGGTGTCCCCGTGTCACTGCTGTCCTTGCCTAGGGATGGAAGTGATCATGGATTTGGAAGGTGCTGCCTAAAGATCTGGTGGTGGATGGATGTGGTGCGAATCGAGCTGGATGGTGTCAAGCTTCGAGTATTGTTGGAGCTGCATCAATCCAGACAGGTGGGAAGCATTCCATCACACTCCTGACTTATGCCTTGTCAATGGTGGACAGGCTCTGGGGCGTCAGGAGGTGAGTTACTCATCACAGTATTCCTATTCCCTCTAAGTTAAACACAATTGTTTCTGGTCCAAGTTTCTCACACTCTAGCTGAATACTAACTTCCATCATGTTATGATCACTATCTTTATTCTGAGATCATTTCTTAAACCTGCCTCATTATTCATTACCAGATCCAGCATATTCTGTTTCCTGGTTATCCATCTGAGTATTTCCCACACTCTCTAAACCACTGTCTCTGTCTATCCTTCTCTCCCCCTCTAAACCTGTGTCTCTCTCCCTACCTATATCTCCTTTAGGACACTCCTTAAAAACCTACCTCTGACCATGCTTTTGGC